CTGTAGATGAGGGGGTTCAGCATGGGGATGACCCCCGTGTAGAAGACAGAGATCACTTTGTCAGTGTTGAGGGAGTGACTAGAGCTGGAGCGTAAGTACATGAAGAGCGTTGTCCCGTACAACATGGTCACCACGGCCAGGTGGGCTGCACAGGTGGAGAAGGCTTTTTGCCTGCCCTCAGCTGAACGGATCCTCAGGATGGCAAAGGAGATGAAGACGTAGGAGAGCAGAATGGTGGAGATGGTGCTGAACTCGATGATGCCAGCCAAAGAGAAGAGGATCATCTCGTTGACGTAGGTGGTGGCACAGGACAGAGCCAAGAGGGGGGGAACGTCACAGAAGAAGTGGTTGATGACGTTGGAGCTGCAGAAGGGCAGCCTGATGATGAAGGTCATCTGTATAATGGAGTTGAGGACCCCCCCGAGGTAGGACCCCACCACCAGCTGCAGGCAGAACCTCCTGGTCATCACAGAAGGATAGAGGAGGGGGTTGCAGATGGCCACGTACCGGTCGTAGGCCATGGCGGCCAGCAGGAAACATTCAGTTGTCACAAAGATGATGTAGAAGAAGGCTTGGCCCATGCAGCCAGCGAAGGAAATGGTCTTCTTCTCTGATAAGAAATTCACCAAAGTCCTGGGGGCAACCACAGAGGAGAAGCAGATGTCCACCACGGAGAGGCTGCCGAGGAAGAAGTACATGGACGTGTGGAGCCGGGGGTCCCCTCGGATGAGCAGGATTATCCCCACGTTGCCCAAGAGGGTGATGGTGTAGATGAGGAGGAACAGCACGAAGAGGGCTGCCTCCATCTCCACCACCTCACTCAGGCCCTGGAGAACAAACTCTGCCACCGAGGTGAGGTTCTGCTCTGCCATCCAGGGCTTCGTGTCCGCCGAGCACAGGAGAGCCTGAGAAGGTAGGACAGGGTCAACCACGTCTTTAGTTCTTGGAATTGAAATGGAAGAACTGGAGAATCTACAGCCAGGGCACTCAGAGGACTCATTTTGAGGGAGTCAGAGTCAGGGTGAGGTTCTGCTCTGCCATCCAGGGCTTCGTGTCCGCCGAGCACAGGAGAGCCTGAGAAGGTAGGACAGGGTCAACCATGTCTTTAGATCTTGGAATTGAAATGGAAGAACTGATAATCTACAGCCAGGGCACCCAGAGGACTCATTTTGAGGGAGCCAGAGTCAGAGGGACCATCCTGCAGCCATCTGCTTCTCCTCAGCCCAAGGAGAGAGGAGGTTCCTTCTGAAGGGAGAGCATCCCAACCCTCCCAAACACCTTTCCCACCTCTGGGGAGTCCCTGCAGAGGGTCTTTTGCTTCCTCACACGGTGGGCAGACTTTGGGCAGCTCCGTTTCTATCACACAACCCCACCTGGGTACCTACAGCTTGATGAGATCCATGGGTAGAGGAGCAGACAAGGGGGGACAGCCCAAATCACCAGCTCTGCCCTTGACCCGTCCTTCAGTTTTTCTCCACACTTGTTTCCCTCCCTCTCTGTTTCAACCCAACCAGGGTAAGGTGCCCAGAACATGACAGCTCTGGGGTAAGCCTCCAACCTTTCCTTGGCACAACTGAGAGACTACACCACTAAAAGACAATAAAACACCATCAAGCCCATCCTGATGTCCCCATGCCACTCAAGAATTGAGCTGTTTACAGCTGTCCTCAGCAGCCACCACGAACCACCAGACTGCTGATGACTAATCACACCTTCTATTTGCAGAAGGGGCCCAAAAACTCATTTTGCAGAAGTGCTCCAAGGGCCAGGAGATGAGTGTGAGCTGCTGTGAAGCTCTGACTCAAGTGAGGTTCACGGTGGAATGGGAGGTCACAGCTGGTGCTCTCCTCAGGGTGTGCAAACAGCATCTGACCACAAATTCCCCTCCTTTCCAGGGGACAGCAAGGGATGGCTGAGGGCACCAGCAGAAAGGGTGAGGCAAGGGGTGAAAAAAAGATCCAGACTGAAAATTCACGGGTTTAAGATGCCCTCTGAAGAAGGAGAAGCTTCTCCAAGGGAGCCTGATGGTAGCCAAGTTGTGTCCTGGTGGTTAGGGAACCCACAAGGACTTTTCTCACCCTGTTTCCAGCAGGAAAATCCCCAGCAGCTCCTCCCTCTCCCTTCAGCTGGAAGAGGAGTCAACACCTTGGATGAGAGCCCAGAGCTGGGTTCACCCCTGGTTGCCAAGGTCTGGGCAGCTTGGGAAGCTGCTCACCCTAAAGACAAGTTGCTCTCCCTGGTGACGTGAGGGTTCAGAATAAAACAAGGAAATCTTGAGAGATTTAATAAATCCATCATTTATTTTTTGACATAAAGATGAGGATCAAAGTCTTACCTCACCAGATGAGCACCAGGATCAGAAGACTTGCTGAAGAACCTTCCTCCATCAGCAGGATATTTCTTTATGGAAATATTCTTTCCTTTTTAAAGCAGATATCAGGGTCAGTGGGTGGGTCAGTCTTGCCTTGAGAGTGTTCTCCTCGCTTCTTCTCCCTTCAACACACCCTAAGCACCAGGATTTCTGGTCTTGAAGCCCTCCTTTAGCTTCCAGATGGACGAGATCTCAGCCTTTGAGAGCCTCCTGCACGTTTCCATCAGCTGAAGGTCTTCACTCCTTCACATGTTGCTTTTATAGGTCTCTCTGCAGGTCTCTGTGGGCAACAGGCACCTCTCCTCGGGGAGCAAGGGTTTGTCAGGGCTTGGGCTGGAGTTCAGGGCTCCAAGAGGAGTGAATCTTGATGCTGGGAGAGTCCCAACACTCTGAGCTGCTAAGAAAGGAGGGAGGGGGTAAAATCCTCCCCTCATTATTGCCACAATGCCAATAACCCTTCACAGCCTCAAGGGACAGGAGAAAACAGCCCAACGAGCAGGAGTTGTCCTTCAGAAGCCCCTCTGAAAATCAAGGAGGAGGGCAGAAGGTCCATCCAGAGGGCAATTTACTGGCAGTGCCTCCAACACCCACTGCAAGCAGCTCAGGCTCTGCCTGGAGGCCTGGGGCTGGTGGCCAGGACCACAAGATGAAGGTTGATCTGATCCTCCAGGCCATGAATGAGTCCAAAGGCTACTGCTGGTTGAGAACATGGAGGCCTGTGCAGGACCCACCTATCAGAACAGGCCTGGGAGCCCACGAAACCACCCACTTCCAGAAAAACCTGCCCATTTTCCCCTCCTTTTTGCCAAGAGCTGGGTCATTCTGCTGCCCCACCTCTGTGGTGAGACCAAACCCACCCCACCACAGCTGATTTTGAAAAGCCTGGTGCTCATCCAGCTCTTTCTGCAAACTTTGGCAGCTCTTTGGATCACTTTTGATCCATAGATGGGCTTGATTCATCCATCAGTTGCCAACAACACGAAGCACAGACCCAGGAGCTGCCTGGGCTCTCTTTGCCCTCAGTAGACATGAAGGTGGTGGTCCAGCTGCTCAGACTTGGGGGTCCAGGACTAGCTGAGACCCACCAGACATCTCTCCTGCTCTCCCAAAGGGTTCAAGCCTCCCTACATCTGTGTCCCTAGAATCCTGGGGGGGTTTGGGTCAGAAGGGACCTCAAAGAGGTCATCTAGTTGCAACCTCCACTGCCATGGGCAGGGACACCTCCCACCAGATGTATCCATACTTGATATCTCAGGTGGAATTCGATGGATCAATAGACCTGGAGGAGGATTTGCCATGTCCAATTAAAGCTGCCTGTGGTCACATGAACAGGTAACTTCTCCCTCAGGTAAGTTCTCCCTCAGGTAAGTTCTCCCTCAGGTAAGTTCTCCATCAGAGCCTTAGAGGACTGGCTGAGAGATGGACAAACAGCATGAGGTTGGGTTTGTCTTGCTGACATATGGACCCACACATGAGTTCTAGGTGGCCCAGCTTCATTTCCAGCCTGGGAACTGAAACTGGATGAATCACAGGATTATTTAGGCTGGAAAAGACCTTCAAGATCAAGTCCAACCCTCCCCCAGCCCTGCCAGGTGCCCACTGCCCCGTGTCCCTCACCCCACATCTCCACGGCTTGGAAACCCCTCCAGGGGTGGGGACTCCACCACTGCCCTGGACAACCTTCCAGGGGGAGAAATTTAAAGAATCATAGAATTGTTTAGGTTGGAAAAGACCTTCAAGAATTCAGTAGATCAGACCTTGAAGAGTCAGATGACTACAGAGCTCTGGCAGAAACACTACGAGACTCAGAGAAACCCAAGACCTTCTGGAGGAGCAGCTGGAGCCCAGCAGGAGATCTTCAACACCCCCAGAGGACAGAAGCAGCACAACCAGCAACAGACCAACACTTCCACCAGCAAACCCAAACACTGACAAAGATCAACAAGACCTGTGCTGGCCCCAGACTGTGTTCTGGTCGGTTGGAGCTCCATAAATGGCAATATTTTAACATCAGGGTTTCTATTTGGGGAGTTTCTGCGTCAACACTTTCACCGTGGAGTCACATTTGTCCCCATTTTATCATCAACCCTCCAGGGACAAACCAAAACACCCTTGTCCTTGAAAAAAAAACCAAGGAAACAAAACCACATTTCAGTGATTTCCAAAAGAAACTTCTTTAGTTTCTACAGAAGAATGAAAAAGAGTCTGGAGAAAGCAGCTACACAAGCAGTGAGGGGGTAATTAAGTGTAAACCCTGGAAATAATTATCACTAAATTCTAATATTAATATAATTATCACTAATTCTTCCACCATGTGATGTATGGATGCAGCTAAGGGTATTTTTGGCCTATTAATCTTCCTCTTATGGAAACAGAAAAGTGCTGCAAACAAACAAAAAACCCAGAAAATGGTCTAAAAACTGAAATCTGGCCTGTGGCAAGGACACAACTTCAGCTGGAGGGGTTCAGCCTCCCTAAATTTGGACGTCTTGAAGTTCAGGTGTCGGGGTCGTGCTACGTTCAGCAGTATCTTCAGGCAGCATCGTCCCCTCGAGTTGTTCCCAGGGTTTATTTTGGCAAGAATCGTGGTCTTCTGCTCCTGCCAGGAGGGAGATGGAGATCAGGTGGAGTTTTCCTCCTAAATTTGTTGTAGCTGGAGGAGAATCCAATAATACCAGTGAAAAAAAAGGTGTAAAGCAACTGGGAATGAGCCCCTGAGGCGAGACGCAGCTCGACCTGCTCCGGCCGTGAGCTAACCTGCCACCCACTGGAAACAACCAGCACCCCAGGGGCCAGCCCCTCCCCTTTTAGAGACATCATCGGGTATCGACCACCCCATTGGCTGCTTGGGTTGTTTAGCCAGGCTGTGGCCCCGCCCACCTACAGCCACCTCCAACTATTAACCCCATCCTGGCCAGACCCAGGACGCTGGGACATCAGAGGGCAGGTTAAATGTAGCTCTCATTCCACGGCAAGAAAGTCTCGTTCTGCCCTCAGAGCAGGCTGGAGGAGGCCTCGTTTTCTTCTCATGGAGTGGTTTGGGTTGGAATGGACCTTGGGAGGTCCTCCAGTCACAGCAACGAGCAGTGGGAGAGCTTCAACCAGAGCAGGTCTCACAGGGTGGGTTTTTTATTCCCTACCCCAGTTTTCCACTTGGCTTTGGAGACTCCACTTGACCCTGGAGACTCCTCCTGCCCTGGGTTCCTCCTTGCCACCAGTCCCACTGCCATGCCCCAGAAAGCACCTGAGATGCCACCTCTTGATCTTTCCTCTAGAAGATCCAGTCGTTTTCCATCCAAACTACTTTAGTCCCTAACTCTGTTATTAATTTCTCTGAGGAGATGGAATCTTCACCTTTTTATTTCTGAGGAAAACTAGAAAAAGTAAGAAGACAGAAAATGAGACAACAGCCTCTTCCATTTCCTTCAAAACGTGATAAAATAATTCATACACCCCCAAAAAGGATTGTGCCTGGGGAGAGGGGGGACAAATAAAACACAC